GAATATGAGTTCTGAAAAAATTATCAGCTGTAAAACTACATGCATATATTTATTCTTTTTTTTTCAAAAAATTAAATTCCATAAAAAGATATTGATAAAATATGTTTTAATATAACAGATAAGAACGATTATAGAAGTGTGAAAAGCCTAATGAAATTTAATGAATTAAAGTGTTATATTAAGAATAAACTTCTATTTTGGGCCCGAAACTGTAAGCGAGAAAAAAATGAGGAAAATGGAGAAACTTGTCAACCTCATGCACCTCGATCCATAAGTGCCAGGAGGGAAGGAGTGTTGCACTCAAATAATTTGTGAATCATGTGTAAACTGTAAAGTATATGGATTTACCAAAAGAGCAGCGCATCAGAAAATATGTTTCATAGTATTGAAATTGAAATTTATTGATATTTTATGCACTATATGTTATAATATGCTTTATTATTATTAAGGAACATTAAATGCCTAGTACCTTCCTTTTTGTTACTGTCACAAGTTAAAAAAGAAAGTTGCTGCCTCACCAGGACTTTAACCCGGGACCCTTGGAATACCGTTCTGCCACTCAACCAACTGAACTATATTGTATTAGGCTGCTTACGCATCATCTCCCTATATAGTGAACAGTTCGGAACCATTACATATTCCCCTGCTTTATTGAAATTCGTCCTTGAATGGGTACAGTGAACAATGTGAAATAGGACTTTGAGTTTTATACCATCCATCACAGTCCCCTTTGGAATAGGTGATGGTATGAAACTTCAAGGCCAATTTCACATTGTTTTATTACTAACTGTTGGGAGTCAAATGTCAAAGGGTGAGAAAAATATGCAGCCTCACTGGGACTTGAGCCAGGGACCCCTTGAATACAGTCGAAGCTGACTACCGGCTAAGCTATCAGTCTGCTTGCACATCTTCTCCCCTCAATAGTGAACAGTTCTGAGCTGTAAAAATGAAAAAATCAGTTTTACAGTATCTTTTTTGTGATTCCATATACCATGCCAGTAATGGTCCCCTGACGGGGAAGGGAACACTTCCTTACTGATAGTGGATATGAACCCCTCTGTCTGCATTATAGGACATTTGCCATACCTTTTTTTATTTTTCAATGAAATTTGGTGGATTTTTTTCCATATCAATCAAACAGATGTAATATTTACTCAATATTATAGTAATATGTTGCCTTACTAACTTGGTTCCTAGGAGGTTATAATAAGGTAAAATTACCCCCATTTTTAAAGATGTAATGTATTTGCTTGAACAAATAGGCATCATAGAAAATTTACCCTATCGTTCTTCATTGTCAATATAATTCAATGGGGTTTTCTTATTTTAGTCAATTAGATGTAGTAGTTACTTGATAGTATAACATAATTTGGCTTTACTTACTTTGTTTCAGTGACCAGAAAACTGGTAAAGTTATTAATAAGGCATTATAGAAAATTAGCCATTATTTCTTAATTTTCAATGAAATTTGTTGGGATATTCTTATATAAGTCAATTTGATGTAGGTATAACTTAATATAATAATACTATGTTGCTTATATAACTTTGATTCATTTACCATGAGGTTATACTCAGGTAATATTACTCCCATTTTTAATGAATTAGTGTGTAAGCTTGTATAGTTATACATCATAGGAAATAAGCCATAATTTTTTGAATATTCAATGTAATTTATTGAGATATTCTTATTTTAATCAATTAGATATGCTTGTTAATTAATATAATAGATTTATGTTGCACTTATAATTCTGTTTCATTTCCTAGGCTGTTATAATAAGGTAAAAATCCCCATTTTGTAGTGAATTGGTGTTCTATCTTAAGACAGTAAGGTATCTTAGGAAATTTGCAATAACTCTTATATTTTGTAATGAAAATTGGTGGGACTTCCTTACTTTAGTCAATTAGATACGTTTGTTAATTAATATGATAGATTAATGTTCCTCTAATAGCTTTGTTTAATTTCCAAGGCTCTTATAATTAGGTAAAATTTTCATATTTTGTAGTGATTTAGTGCATTATCTTGGACATTTAGGCATCTTAGGAGATTTGCCATAATTCTCATATTTTGTAATGAAATTTGTTAGGACTACCTTATTTTAGTCAATTAGATATGTTTGTTAATTAATATAATAGATTCATGTTATATAAAAAAATTCTGTATCATTTCCTAAGAGGTTAAGTTTAAGGTAAAATTACCCGGTGTATCAACATTTTATGTGGCACTGCTTTCTTTAATAGTTGGGGTCCACATAGAATTTACTATGACATTTATATTTTTCATGGACAATTATTGAATTTTTTTTTAAGTCATCTTATTAAAGCTTTTAATTAATAAAGTTTATTTGGATTGAGTTATCAATTACATTACTTTTCAAAGGGATCTTGTATTATGCTCTTTTTAATGAACTGACCTACCTATGAAGCATAAAATTGATATTGTAGGAAAATTAAAATTACAATCAATTGAAATTGTACAGGTCCCAAAAGATATATTAGAATGCAAAATGGGTTTTTGTAAATTTATATAAATACATAGGTGATATTTAAGTATATTATAGTTAGAATTTTATCAGTTATGAGGTTTATAACTTACTTGAGGGAAGTTAAACAAGTGACTTGGGACTATGTACAGCATACCTATCTAACTCAGCTGAGAAAAATCTTCAAAGAATTATATGGTTATATATGGAAAGGTTATATACTTTTAAGTTAGCAAAGGGCGACACAGGCTCGGGTATCTCAAAGGGGTATTATGTTAAGTAATGATTACGGATTGATAAACCTTAAAAGTGATTTTAGATAATATACAGAAAAAAATCAAGAAAGCTATATATGTTTATCAAAGTGGGTTATATTATGGACCTCATATAAGATTAAGATATATTTGAGCCGCGTCACGATAAAACCAACATAATGGGTTTGCGACCAGCATGGATCCAGACCAGCCTGCGCATCTGTTCGCTATCAGTGTTATACGGTTTGTAAGTGAACAGTAAAAGCCCAGGCCACATACAAAAATAGTATTCTATGCCTTGATTATGAGCTGACAGATAGGGGAATTTTGTAAAGGGTGGCTTAGCCGGTCTGTTGTGATTACATGTCTAAAAAGTACAACATGGTATATTTTAGCCACCATAGAATTTTTTATCTAGAAAAAAATCTAGCTATTTTTATTTGTACAAATATATAGAAATAGTACAATGTACAATGTATAATTATTTAAGCGTTCACTATACATGTACAAATAATGAAACTATTAACAAATGTCGGTACAGCTGCGGTACAGTATTTAGAGGGTCACGGGTTCGAGTCCATGTCAGGATGCACTTTTTTTCTCACCCTGTGACTGACATACATTTGTATAGCCCAGCTAGAAATTAATTCACAATGCTAAGTAACCCTGGGAAATTCGAAGAAATATTTGCATACACAGTAGGTTTATAACTATTCAGTATTTAAACAAGTAAAACGTGTAAGCGGCCGAATAGCTCAGAGGAACTCAAGAGCCGCGGAATCGTATTCCGAGTGTCAGGGGTTCGAGTCCCTGCCAGGCTGTTACATATCAATATAAATCTGTCAAGAAAAATAGGAAGGAACTGTCTAAAATAATTATCACCCTAAATAGTATTCGGATAGGATTCAGACAGTCTTTGATGAAAAGTCAGAAAGGGGGTGGGGTGCTAGTCTGATTACCATCATTTGATGTCTGACGAACTTCATATCTAATATATATTGGTACGCATATAAACACCTGTTTGCTGAATTGAATATCAAAAATGTTGCAATTAATTAGTAATTATATCTTATGCGTATGTAAAATAGAATTTTAAAACAAATTAATCTTCGGCGTAAAGCATGTAGAAATCTGACCAGTATTCACCGCGAGGTCACAAACTTTAAAACTTTAATGTAAATATCACAATAATACTTCTTTATATAATATTTCTATTCTTTGACAGGGACACAGAACATCTCTTACATGTTTAAGAAACAAGAAATTTACATAATATATCTAAGATATTCTTTTACTTCTCAATAGTAAGTTAACAGACGCAAAACACGGTACTTAAGCGCTTAGACGAACGCAGACGCACGCTAAACGTTTCTGGGAATAAGAAACGCACGCTTTCAGACGCACGATAAACGAAAAACGATACACGGAAAACGATAAACGTTAAACGCTTGTAAACGATGCACGCTTGAGAAAGCGTTTCAGCAAACGCACGTTGCACGCTATACGCACGCACGTTACACGAAAAACGGACGCACGAAAAACGCTATTTTTGACAACCGAAACGTTCACCCTACTGTATTTCTTATAATGTATGTCTATGGGAAAATAATTACGTAATCTAACCTTTAGCGAGTCAAGTTTTACTTCTGCCTCAAACCAGATAAACCTTCTCCACCCCAAACCATGTATTCGATTTATCGTTTTATAATGCTTTTAGTTTCAATATATGGTTTACTTTTTTCATATTGATTAATCTGTGCTAGTTTCGTTGAATTACCGCTATAATTATTGTAAACAGATTTTTCGCAATAGAAAATATTTTTTAAAAAGTTCCAGTAATTCGCAAAGAAATACACAAATACTTAAACTTACTTCATTCAAACAATTGTTTTATTATATTATAAATAGAGACAACGATTAACATACAACAAGCACAGCAACATAAAATATTTAATTATTGCTTAACCATGTGACTCAATTACTGGTCTTAGCTAGGTTTACTCGGCAAGTCTTCATTCAGCACATATAAGCATATAATATTTACAAAAGCAGGATAATTTTTTTCCGCAATGAATAGATAATTGTTTACCAAGAATCATCACATCAATTATAGGCCAGCAATATAATTAACTAAAAATGTCATGAATTGGCATAGAAAACATTTTCGATTTAATCAGCTAATTTCACTTTGTAAACACTTCTCTTATCAATAGATTCCTTCGATGATAATTTGATAATAAGCAATGCTTGAAAGATTAAGATTTACCTTGTTCCAACATACACTGTATTCTATCGATTTCCCAGTTACAATAGGTTTGTTCCATGATATTTCAATCACTGTGGACTTTGGTGTGGCATGTATTATTTCACCTAGTTGTAATGAAATAACAATAAAGAATAATGAAAATATGTTTTTAAATGAATTTAAAGTGCAATAGTCTTAAAAACGATTAACAAACAGAATTAATAGTTCTTAACGGTAAAAACAACAATTCTTACATTTTAAATTCAAGGCACAGAGCAAATGTAAATGTGTTTGCTCTTTCATCATTCTTTTGTTCACCGTACAGAATATACAAAATGCTGATACATTCTATATTCTAGATAAGCTTTCCATGTTATTGGCAGAATTGGTATCATAACACACTAAGTGTGTCATGCAGTTACAAACGTTGAAAAGAGTTTTGGGTCCCCAAGTTGGTCTCTTAACTTCAAAGGTTAACACGAAGTCTTTATTACTGTGCCTTTATGTTGAATTAGCTTGAGCTCCAGTTACAATGAGTACGTTTTTTTTCACAAAAAAAGATGTCTGTCTTATATAAATTTGACGCTGTGTTTTTACATAGCGGAAAATGTTAGTTTAACATTAGCTGCTATGCAAGTTTTTTTTTCAATAACAATACCTTTTCTGTAGAATTTTGTGTATATGTGTACAAATGATAAAGAAGTTGATCTTAACTTAAACAAGCAATTATATAAGTATTGAAATACAGAATACCCTTACCTGTTAGACCGGTTTAAACCCAAGCAACATTCTGAAGGGCCGCGGCCTTTCAATTATGCCATTTGAAAGACATGAAATTTAACCTTATGAGTTCTTACTTTGTTTGTATCATAGTAATGTGTTAAGTTCCCCTGCGTAATACGGAAATTATATTTAAACAACAGATAATCAAAGGATTAATATTTTCAGAATATATATGTATAACTAATGTTTCCATTTGTCTCTATTTTAAGTAAATTTGTTCTGTTCTTCAAAAGTGATCGCAGTAAACAGTTGTCCGGGGCGGACACACAGACAGAGGTCTAATTGTTAAGCATACCTGGTTGAAAGAAGAACATCACATACAAAACATTAAAACAAAATTCTTAAACTTAAAAGTAGACTTCTCTTGAAAAAAAAAGATGCTTGAAAAATGATATTGTCATAGATTGTCAAATTAAAAAATAAATAATGGAAACCCAGGCGCTAGACGTAATCTAACCCAGGCGCTACACTTAATATCACATATGATGTATGTGTTGATAATGATCACGTATTTCAAATTTTAAGTAAATCCATGCATAGATAAGAAAGTTATAGGATGTTATACAATGAAAATAAGGAAAACCCAAAGTTTAAGGAGAAGACCATTCTGGAAATATAAACGCTAGATTTATAAACCTTGTTATATCATTATGTTGTAGAAGTTAACTTTTAAACAAATAAAAGGTCTTTAAAAAGTTCAAGGGGAACATAATTCTGGAAATAGTAAAGTTACAGTTTATAATTTTTTTCACACATTATTTGAGTGGTAACAAGAAACAAATATTTGAAGTTTGAAGTTGATGCATTAATCAATAAAGCAGTTATATAAAAACAAATATTTCCTTTTCGTGAAAATTCATAATTAAAGGGGAATTATTTTAATAATGTTTGTGTTAGATGTGTGAAAATTGACTGGCCTTATATCCATATTTAAGGTTTGATGAAATTATTTTATATTACTTTTTGAGTCCAACTTGGAGGGGGATTCACTTAACTAGTTTTGAGAATCCCCCCATATTTGTCCAGAGGCAGGGGGAAGTTATACTTTGATAAAGAAGGAAAAATATCAACAAATGTAATAAATTCTCATTTTTCGATACAAATCTCCCCTGTTTAGAATCCTAGTATAGACACTGGAGTTATCACAAAAAAAAAATGTTTGGTATATTTCATGTCTATTTGTTGCCACAGTAACCAAACAAATCAATATAGAAAGGAAAAAAGACTTGCATAATTTCCAGACTGCCGTTTATAAATATATCAAGTTTCATAAAAATATTTTCAATACTTTTTGTTATCGCGGGATCTAAATTTGTGGACGGGCGGCGGATTGGCAGACTGACGGACGGAGGGTTAACATAAAGTCCCCTCGGGTTAAACTGGAAGGGGACTTACAAGGGTCTGCAAAGAGCATGCAAGACATTTTGCCACTGTCTTTACATTTTGTTGTTTTTACAAAATATAGGTAAAGTAGCAAGAACTTGTCGGTCACGTAGGCTGTTACATTTTCTATAATCGTTACATTATGATGGCTGATTTGTGCCATTCGTGTTTTCACCCTGCAACCTTGCCAAGCGAAAAGTCGAAAAATAACAAGTTAAAATGGCGGGGGCGCGCAGCGAAAACACGCTTATTAGCGTGGGCGCGGGGCGAAGTTTAATAAATAAACCTTCGCCCCGCGGGGGCGCGGAGCGAGATTTAAGAAATAAAACGGCGGGGTCGCGAAACAAAAACACACTTATTAGCGGGGTCGTGGGGCGATAAATAAATAAATCTTTGCTGCGCGCCCCCGCTAATTCGCGTGTTTTTGTCTCGCGATCCCGCCAAGCGAAAAGTCGATAAAAAACAAGTTAAAATAGTGGGGGTCCGCAGCGAAAACACGCTAATAAGCGAGGGCACGGGACAAACTTTAATAAATAAAACTTCGCCCCGCGGGAGCTGAGCGAGATTTAAGAAATAAAACGGCGGGGTCGCAGGACCAGAACACGATAATTAGCGGGAGCGCGGGGCGAAGTTTAATAAATAAAACTTCGCCGCGCGCCCTCGCTAATAAGCGTGTTTTCGTCCCGCGAACCCGCCAAGCGAATAGTCGAAAATTAACAAGTTAAAATAGCAGGGGAGCGGAGCGAAAACACGCTAATTAGCTGGTGCGCTAATTAACATGTTGTCGCTCCGCGTCCCCCCCGTTTTATTGTTTATTAAACTTCGCCCTGCGCCCTCGCTTATTAGCGTGTTTTCGCTCCGCACCCCCCCCATTTTAATTTGTTAATTCTCGACTATTCGCTTGGCGGTGTCGCGGAGCGAAAACACAAATGACAGAAATCAGCCACCATATTACATAGTAATACGAAAAGAAAATTCGCAAAGGCAAACGTAAGAGAGTAGTATTAACATGATGAAATACATACCGGCACTTGGTGTTACAAAAGTACGGTGTCCAGGATGATTAAGCGTTTCCGACTGGCAAATTACATAAACATATACAGAGTAGTCTTGATTAGGATGTAGACCCTCTATAGCATAACTTTGCGTGTTTATGATATCTGTTTTAATCACTAATTCTTTCTTCTTTAACTGTAACAGTAAGATTGTGTCAAATAATTTCAAATAATTGTCTTTTTACAGTCTCTATTTAACAAACATCGACAAGAAGAGACTGGAATATAACTGATAATTAACTATTTATGATTACATTAACACAAGGAAGCCATTAACATTTGTTTTAGTAAATTTGACATATCACGGTTTGGACTGCTTTCATTTACATGTAGAACTCAGTCCTTTCATTCATAAAAAGATTAAGAATATTAAACAGAATTATAAAAAGTAACTGTTGATATACATACATCGTGACATTCAATCTTGTAAGTGAACGTGTCTGTTTCAACGGGGATATTGGAATTCTGTTCAACAACAGCCCACTTGATGTTGCAGTTTACAATCTTCTTTCCAGGTTTATATTTGACTTTCGGGATCACTTTAACTTTTAAGATAAAAAATTAAATAGATTATATATTTCATCATTTATTCACGAGGAGATTATACCATGGCCTTCTTATGCCATATAAAATGGTAAATAATCTTGAACATAATTCTTTCAATTTATGCCCTATTTTGCCTAGATTTTGTTCTCTGATTAGTAAACCAATGTTTCAAGATCCAACTTTCAAACTGCTTAACTTATCAATACTAAACTTGGAATATTTGTTTATTTACTCTCGAAATTCAAATGCATTTCAAAAAGGCAAATTTATCATTGGCTTATGTCTTCTTCGTTACTTTTTATTTCTGCAATTACCTTAGGGCTAGTCAAGAATTGTAAATCGCGTTTATCTTTAATTTGGAGTACTGTCAAATTGGAATGCATGTTTTAAAAGGCAGATAACCCCGAAATTCATATACCTGTTTTACTTAAAGCTGCAAGCCTCCAGATAAGCCAAAATATATAAAAAATAAAAATCCAACTTGAGAAAAATGTACTAAGATTATAAGAAAAGTAAATCGATTTAAGATTCAAGTAATAGTTTTCATGTTATGTGTAATTAGTGACAGATTTTACAGTATTTACCACCATGATATTTAGACTACGTTACTAGTAATGGCTATCTTTGCATATTTTGAACTTTTTTTGGTAATTTTCGTCGAAATTCAGTGCCGTTCGCAATGTCTGAATTATTATGTTTGTTCGCTTCACAATATTTTACTTTTAAATACATTTTCAAAATTTTGATGAAAAATTGCATGCTTTCTGGAGGCATGCTGCTTTAAAATAAGTAATAACAAGCCGTTATAATTATATCCAGCTTTGAAAAAATAAACGTCGAGGGACAGGTATTATCCTTAGCTTATTGAACTACTAGTATCATAAATCTATCAATTGTTCACGCGCCGAGTACGAGCGTTAAATATTGATGACTTCAATTCACCTGCCTGTCACCTATGTGGGTTCGAATCCAAATAGGGATATTGGATTCTGTCACGTGAAGAATCTATCCTTCTATCATGCGGAACATTGGTGTTTCATCTTATGTCGTCAATTATGATGTAGGCAATGAACGAAATGGGATTTGAGGTCTCGCCTTGGTAGTATAATTTGTTATATGAAAACAATCTTATTTGAACTAAATATATATTCACTTTTATAAAACGCTTTTCTGGTTATTTCGTTTACAGTCGCTTCCTACTTTACAGTCTTTCAAAACACTTGAAAGGACAATGCATAAAGCCATGGGTTATCAAAAGACAAATAAATTGTAAAATAGTTACCAGCTTTTGAATAAAATTCAATTTCTTCTTGTGAACTCTTCTGGCTTTTGTATATGGTACATACTTGAACTGTATATTTTTTACCGGGAATAAGTTCCGGTATTGTACACTTTGTTCTAGAACATTCTTTCCGAAACTGAAAAGGAAATTCTAATTGCCTTCTTAATCGTATCGACAGGCACATTTTATTTTTCATTCAGTTGAACTAGCGCATGTGTAAACTGAAGCCGTGTCTTATTCTGACGACGTAAAATTGATTAAAAAGAGAAATGATATAGTTGATTAAAAAGAGAAATGATATAGACAAACCTTAACATTGTAATCACATAAATATGATAACTGTCAATTTAACATTTGTCAAATAGTACACACAGTTACACTAAGTGTGTGCTATCACTCCTTTTTGAAATTTAATAGTTTTTTTATTCAGTATGTTTCACATGGAATAACATGTAACTCTCAACAAGAAAGGCATACAGAGCAGGGCTAAGGTTTATTACAAAACTATTCACGTCCGATATTTTTCAGAATATTGCAACATTGAAAAAATCAATAGTACACGATGTAAATAATGAACACTCTGTCGCCAGACGTACCTTTATTTTTTATATATTGATTGACAGAAGTGACAATTGTGCTACCTAAACTCAACCCATTATTTTGTAAACAACTTTTTATACGAAGGGTGTTCCAAAATTAAAATTAATGTTACTTTCACCAAAACAAATCAAGATATATTCTGGGCTCTGACATTAACCAGTATCTTATGAGTTTACCTATTGAAGAGTACGAAAACTGTTTCAAAAATGGATTGATCGACTGAAAACAAACTGTTTCAAAAAATGGATTGATCGGCTGAAAACATGCTTAAGGGTAGAGGGGAGTACTTTGAGGGACAGGGCAAGTTAAAATGATCTTAAAAACTTATATCAAAAACGAAAACACAAAAGTAACATTAATTATGGAACACCCCACGTATGCTTGGGGCGGTCTAGTGGGGTCAAATGAGGTTTAAACTAAATAAGTTTTTAAATTTGTTTTTATCAAGTGAAAGGTTATCAAATAAGAGTCCACGGTTGCTCCCAAACAGGTCGCCTCATTATTGGTTCTTTATTTTTAAAATTTCACTTAATAAACACTTATACTTAGTGTGAAACAGGCAACATGCATGAGTTTCTGTAATACTAAATAGGCATTTAAATTGCCGTATTTGATCGTGGGTTGTCTTAAATAAAACATAAAATCGTGCGAGAATGAGCATTTCAGAACGCACACAATTCCAATCAGAAAGGTAGTTTACGAGTCGTTTAAGAAGTTACAAAGAAAAGCATTGATGCAAAGCATCAAAGGCGACGCCAAAATACACCTAAATACAGAAGATGGTACTTTATATCAGTACCATAACATGTGACCTGGAGGCCTGTTTAAGTTGACACTTGAACCCAAAAGAATAGACTCTGTCTTTCCAAGATGCAAAGATAATTTAGAGCTAATTAACCAATCACTAATAAGACTCATGCCATAAGTTATTCATTTTACCAGATACAAGGATACCTGAGTCATCAGTTTAAGCTTATTGCTTAGGGTTGCAGACATGTCATTGACATATATATTAGACATAAAAGAGGACCTAAAATAGGTAGGCACTCGGAGCAGTAGTAGAATGAGTACCAGCCAAAGATAAAGTTCTGGAAACAAGTGATCCCTCGGAAGCATTAATCACAACAAATTTACAAGAGAATTGCAGACTCGGTTTGATTGAGTCTGTACATGAGGTATAATGAATACGTGCAATAAGACTTGAACCATATAAGAATGTCATTCCCTATAGCAAATGCTTGAAGTTTCATGTGCAGTATAGTGTGATCAACATGTGTCAGTTGAAAAACCACTTCTTAACCCTGACTAAAACTGCCTGACCATGACTCGAACCCATGACTGTCAGATGACCAACTAATCTAACCGACTGGCTACACATTATCTCTTTAATAATGAACAGTTCTAAACTATAACATATTTCCCCACTATCTTGATATTTGTCCTCGGATTTCTAAAGTTTACTGAGTACAGTGAATTAAACTCTTGATTATATGCAGTCACAGGATGAAAAAAACCGTGCAGTTTGACCTGATCTCAACCTGTGAGCCACAGAATAATGTACCGCGGCTGTAGCGATTGAGTTATCTGGCCGCTTACACAATTTCCCCCCTAAATAGTGAACAGTTCTAAACTGTGAAAGATATTTTTAAATATTTCAATTAACAGGCAGAATAATTCTTAATTAATATAAATAAGAAAAAACAAAAACTTACATGCTCATAGTCTTAATTCAAATAACAATTTATATTATTGTATAATTATTTTATACTAAAAATGACTTAGACAGTTATTGAGTGTCCCATTATTTATATCCGGTCAATTTAAAAGAGAACATTACTGTACTAGTACATGTAGTACTAGTACAGGTACAATATCTCATTCTTTTTACAGTAAAAAAACTGATAAGAAAATTTTATGGAGGCTGATTTGTGCCATGTTATATTTTGCATGAGGGGGAACCGGGCGAAAAAATGAAAATACAACAAACAAACCACTTTGTGGTATTTTCATGTTTTCATCTGGCGTCCGGTTACTTTTTCCAATTGTACTTTGTCGGTTTTCATGTGGCACAAATCATCCAATATAAAATCTAGTGCACAAATTAATTCAAGTGCAAGAAACAAAAGTCTGTAGTCGGATTGCCCGAGTTGAGACCGGTGTCCCTTCATTACAAAAAGATAAGACAGGAGCTGTCCTTTTCAAACTATGCATTTGTTAGAAAAATTAAAATAACAATTACAGAATATAATATTTTTGAGACTTTATAAATTATATTGCTTGATCAAAAAGTTTAAAGACATTGTACTACCTTAAAGGACCAGTACTGACCTACAAGCACAGAGAGTGTTGAATAAATATCTATATCTATATTGCCATGGCATGCAAAAGTCTGGTGGAATTGCTCAATGGACCTTGTCATCACTAGTACTTAATGAAAACTTATTTAACCTCAATTCTGGATAGGTCATTATGTAACCTGCCAAATCTCACAATTTCAGAAAATAAACCACAACATCCAGGCTAAGTCACCCTTTACAATATTCCTTTTACTCTATTATAGATACTATTATTTACCAGCTAACACTGGGTATAAACCTTTAACCTGTATACTAATCAATACATGCATTAAGAACTCTAAATGAAAGTCTCATCCCTTCAATTATAATGTCATTACTGTGACTCTTTATATACAGAAATATTATAAGTCTCATCATATCCATATACTACGATATACATGTATGCACAAAACATTAAAAATTCCCAGTTTCTATTAAATAAACAGAAATCCTATAAACATTGGTACATGGATGGAATTCAAAATCTAGTAGAAAGAAAACTATCATGTATAGTACAAAAGTAAAAAAAAAAAAGCTCAAATAGTCTATATAATAAAGATTGAGTTGAGAAAGGCAAAGTTTACTCTGCACAAACGTTCAATTATTAAAGAGTTAAGTTACAACAACAATAAGTGTCACAATATTCTTACAGTTAATAATGTTAGGTACTTTCATTTTCATTGAACTTTGCCTTTTTAAAAAAAAATATAATAAGAAAATTCATTTGTACGAATTTGTGTGTATCATCTCAGAACATTGTTATTACATCAACTTCATGGTATTGTATTATTGTATTATTTCATGACTTTTATTGTTTGCATTGTACAATAAAGAGAAATAAAAAAAAACTAACTGCATATATATCAAGTGTTAAAATATATAACTTCAGAATTTATACTGTCTCTGTTTCAATATATGGACATGAACACCTATTTGCAAAGCTTTAATGTTCTACCTTTCATTTTAACCAAAGGTTATTTTATTAACAATTCAAATACAAGCACATAGAAAATAATAATAAGCTTCAAATAGTGATTAGAAGATTCCTGTAGCAGATAACTTGTAGGTATGTACTAACTGAACAAACTAGAAAAATCCATACTGTTTTATATACAACAAAAATAGTATGTTATACCTAAGATAGACAGAAACGAACAAACAATTTAGTAAACATGAGTTACTTCCCCTCAAAATAAAGAAAACGAACACCAATAAACAGCAAAATTTTGAAATGTTGCCGGCTCAGATTTGTTAAGCCATGAAAAGTAATGGCCAAAAGTTAGATTGCCATGTGATAACAGTAATAACATTGCAAAAAATCGGAAAGCTTTCAACATCCAGATATGGTACACTTTGTAACGCAATAGATAAACGTTATATGGATAAAATCAATAGGATAATTGTTTTCAACAGTTTCATTACCAATCCGGTTACTCATAAATTTTGCAGATGAACGTTCTTCTTGTAGGAAAATGAAAAATAATACTATTGACATCAATGTAGACCACAACGATATTAGAAATCCGGCTTTTACTATTGCAAATAAAGCTAAGGGAACTGAGCCTGCAATTTCATGAAAATAATATCACGATTCACAAAGTTAATAAACACCAATATAACAGCATATTTGTTTACTTGATTTTTACGAATCAAAATAAAACAATATGTATACATCTCCGAGTGTGTGCTGATTTGCTTTACATTAATCACCACTTATTTATATTGTGGCGTTAATCGCCAGAGTGACGAGCTATTTATAGCTATTTTTTACCGTCGTTTCCGCCTGGTTATACGGACATAAAACTACTGTTAACAAGTACAAAATTAATGTTGCTGCAATGCAGCAATTGAGAAGCTTCGCGAAAAAAATACGCTCATTACATATACCTTACCAACCATGAATATAGAAATTATATTTAATTTCTTGCCGAATATCTTTATTATGTGTGGTTAACACATAAAGCCAACACAAATCTTTGATTTGATCTACTATTTCGTCTAGACGTTCTCTGTAAGATTCTGAGATATTTTTTTGTTCTGGTTAGAACATTCTATAAATGGAATTTATGTTCTATATTCCTTCGACTGTTTTGCGATTTTTTTCCCTGAAACGGACTATAACTGATCTGCTATCCTATGGGGATGATGCAATAAAAACACTTATAGTATTAAACTCGCCCGGAAAAAAAGCATTTATAAAGTTTTTTCTTAAAGTGCCAGTTTTTGGAAAGAAAGCAAAAATACTCTTATTAAGACTACATTCTGTTATCAGAAATGGCTTGTAGCAAATACATTGCAATTTCCTGTGTTTTATTTAAGACTGGTACTGAGTTCGTACATTGATAATGGTATTTTTCAGTTGTTTGAATGAGTTACCCGACTAAACCTGGCGGTTGGGCGAGTCCATGACGCATTTTGTTATCATGTGATATTGAATTATTCGCTTTGATTGGCTTAAGGCAGGCGGTGTACAGGTAGAACTGTTCAAATCTTGTTAATTGTCTTTATCGCCTGCCAGGAACGGCGATAACAAATGGTAAGATTTAGAAAATAAAAATAAAAAAACAATATGTTATTTTTACAATACAGTACATACAGTCCCACACTTAAAAAATGATAAAAATGATATGAATATCAAATGTTTCAATTAGATAGATATGCTTTATATGAACTTTATAATGTCATATAGAAATATGTTTTAAATATGCGAAAACTGACCTTATCTTCGTATGTGACTGTCTGAATTTAATACCTTTGAAAAATTACCTTTGCTTCTTTCAAGGTCACTTCGTACTTCAATTGCCTCTTGTCAGGACAATAAGGCTTCTCCCAAACTAATTCAACCGCTGTTGTCCGTGTAGTACAATGCAAATTACTTGGTTTACCTGGTAGTCAATAAAATGATATACTGAAAATAAGTTTTACCTAACGCTTCGATAAGGTGCACATTTTTCTGAACTGTTATGCGAATAATGATTAAGAATTATAATTTATTGTACAATTACAATCATCAAATGTATTTTGGAACGACAAACAAATTTCCCGGTGTTTATGGTAAAATAAACTATAACATCAAAGGTATAGGAAAAGTAAAAATATAATTGTTTGTCATCGTACACAGCTTAACATTTATTCTCATTTTGTTTTAAACTAAATAGGTATCATATATTATTGGCAGATGTAATTTTACTACGTACCAGGTAGGGTAGTTACATGCACAGGCGTTTTTGATTTTGAACTCATACATAACATGTTCCGGGCTACAATTATGATATAATCAGTCATTGGTTGAAGTCCTGACAATTTGATTTCTGTTTTCCTTGTGGTTTGTTCTTTTTCCGATACTGCTCCGGTTTCCTGAAAATCCGTCTTGTACATTACATTACGCAAAAACACATAAAACATGTGATACAAATATGGGATTTAAGATACTACAAAAAGTAAACAAAAGCATTGTTGTTGCCTGCTTTTTAAGAAGCTTTGAATTTGTTGTACCCATTTAGCAAAATTTTATATAGTAAACAAGTATACTTATCTATAATATCATTTATTATTTGTATATACACAAATGTAATAATATTCATATGAAAATCGTTATAAAATAAAACATACCTTATAACTGATTTTGTATAAAAATATTTTGCACCAACATTTGATTGCATCATTCCATCCTAATTTAACTTCCGTTTCCTTCGGTTCTATTTTATGAATATTTGGTGGCGGATGTTCTGAAATTTTGATACGTGAATAACAAATTTCCTTTTGTTTAACTATTAAATGTCTAATTAAAATTTAAAACCGTTGTTACTTTATTTGATCAAACTAAAAAGAGTGCACTCAATGTATTTTGCATATGGCGATGTAACACCTATCTTCTTCCGTCAAGTGTTATAACTATGACACGTCACATGGCGTATTTACATAACGTAATATTATGGTAAATATGATCATGTTGAAATATCCGTTTTATAAAAAAAAAATCAAAGAATTTTCCTTATTTTGATTTGCCCTCAATGCCTCATCGAAGTTATGTAAAAGTGCTTGATAATAAATAATTGAATAGCTCCGCCCTGTCCCTACTGCCCCGGTCCCGTTTATTAATGGTTCCCTAAATTGTGCCCCTTATATGTGCCATGTTACGGTTTGGGGGAGAACGTCTTCTTTTTTAAAAACACTGTTGATATTCAATATCATTCGTTATACTAGTAAATTTTTGAAGAAAAATCGTTCCTTTTTAGTACATGTATAATTACATGAATTTCATGCTTGCTAATTTTAGTCTTTTTAAAATGTTATTTGTCTTCTCCGATTTGTATCTCCTGTCAATATGCGACGAAGCATTTATTTGCGTATTATGGGCTTTTTTGTAAGTCGTCATATCCGGTACGTACTAATTAAGAACGTATCCCACATAAAGAATTCACATATCATTGTTCACAAGATCTTTCTGTTTTCAGTTTTTTCTTTATATATTGTCTCATTTTATTGTCAATTATTCACAAATGAATATGTGTTATTTTTACTCACATAGACATTACTTGCAAGTAACGTTTATCGGTTCAGTGTTGAATGAATGCAGTGGATCTTAACCTTTTACTCCATGAAAAAAATGGCCGTTTTCATTGGAAAGCCTCCTGTCACAAGTTCAAACTGCTATGAAACTATGAAAAATGTTTCAATACTAATGAAACTTGGCACAAATGTTGACTAGACCATAACCTCTGTAACAGCATTCTCCATCGAAAATTTCCTGTTACCATGGCAACGGGGGACGTCTCAAAATTGCTAAAAATCACTATTTTGCATTGTTTTTTTTCCATCAAATCTGATTTCCAAGTGCTGCAACTTCTCAATGAATTGAGATAGACTAAAAGGCTTTTCAGCGTAGGTTACTAGTTACCCTAAGATCGACCTGAGGCCATTTTTAGCCTGTCACATGTCCAAAATTTTCCTGAGACATCCCCCTTCTGACAACCCCCTGATGTACCATTTTGATGCGCCGAAAAAGTGGTCACCTTTTTAACAACGTTTTTTAAACGAAAAACGGTGTTTGGGGCCTAAAAAGGGCATTGTTTCATAATGTTTGAGGCCTCAGAAAAAGGGGGGAGGACAAAAAGCCGTCAAAACACGTTTATATGACGGTAAAGGTTAAAAAATAAAATATACAGTTGAATGATGGAGTCATTTTGAGCGAATATGAAAGAAACCCACTCAACTCTAATTAAACAAGCAGCGCTTGTAAATATATTATGATGTTTACATAATATAATAAGTACAAAGTTCAATCCTTCAATGAAAATAAAATATAATGCGGGTAAGGCTCAAAGTAAAGTAATGGATGTACTCTAACACCATTACGGAATGTTAAGATGGTGTTGGCGAGATATAAAGCGTGTGCATCATAGAGAGAGCTGTCAAAGCACCGATTTTGGAAGCAGGAAACAAACGGGTTGATTTCGCGGTATTCAAGTAGGAATAAATCAACGAGTAAAACAAATAATTGAAAGAACATGAATCAAGAAATACATCGATAATTTTTACATTGTGCAAGACAATTTCAACAATTTCTGTAAGTGAATACGTATATAGTACACATGTTTCGGTACGTTTTGGAAAAAGGAAAAGGAATGAAAGAAAGGAAAAGGAGAAACAAGAGCAGGCTAGGCTAGGCGGAGCATAATATGTCCGAAAGTTTTTTTTTTTAGTAAGGATGAAGCATTAGTAAGTCATTACATAAATTGAATAAAGTATTACCTTCTTCAAATAGCAATCCTCCTATAAAATTTGAATATTGTGGGCCAAATGCTCTGGAAACTGTTTTCAGTTTTGGGGTAATAGCGACCTTTAACTTTGACCCTGTGACCCCAAAATCAATAGGGGTGTTCTACCCAATATGGACAATCATCCTATGAAGTTTGAGCACTATGGGTCAAATAGAAATAAAGTTATATTCTGGAAACTGTTTTCAGTTTTAAAGTGATAGTGACCTCGACCTTTGACCTTGTGACCCCAAAATCAAAAGGGGTTTTCTACCTAATACGGACAATCATCCTATCAAGTTTGAATATTGTGGGCCAAATAGACCTTAAGTATTGCTCCGGAAACTGTTTTCAGTTTTAAAGTAATAGTGACCTTTGACCTTGTGACCCCAAAATCAATAGGGGTCTTCTACCCAATATGGACAATCATCCAATGAAGTGTGAACACTGTGGGCCAAATGGAACTTAAGTTATGTTCCGGAAACTGTTTTCAGTTTTAAGGTAATAGTGAACTTGACCTTTGACCTTGTGACCCCAAAATCATTAGGGGTCTTTTAACCAATATGGCAATCATCCTATGAAGTTTGAATATTGTAGGCCACATGGAACTTAAGTTATGCTCCGGAAACTGTTTTCAGTTTTAAAGTAATAATGACCTTGACCTTTGACCTTGTGATCCCAAAATCAATAAGTGTCTTCTACCTAATATGGACAATCATCCTATGAAGTTTGAACACTGTGGGCCAAACGGAACTTAAGTTATGCTCCGGAAACTGTTGTCAGTTTTAAGGTGATAGTGACCTTTGACCTTATGACCCCAAAATCAATAGGGGTCTTCAAACTAATATAGACAATCATCCTATGAAGTTTGAATATTGTGGGCCAAATAGAACTTAACTTATGCTCCGGAAACCAAATTGCTAACGGACGGACGGACGGACAGACGGACGGACGGACGCCAGTGGGTATAACATATTATGCCCGAAATTCTTTCGGGCATATAAAAAGGAAAGAAAAAGGAAAAAAAAGTAGAAAGTAGAAGGAAACAAAAATGAATAAATGAAAAATGTTATAAAGAATTTATTTCACTTACTGTTATCCAAATACTTGAATACTGCAATGACGACAATCGGCACTGCAATTACGATTAAAACTACTACGATCACAACTGCGATCACATCTATTAACAAAGTGGACCCACTGCTGTCACTGCTGTCACTCTGTTTACTGTCTTGAACTTAAAAAAATGCATTTCAATGTTGTTAATAAAAACACAGGCATTTATCAATAATTTCTAAGAAAATGTACCATTTAAATCTAATATCGATTTAGGCGAGGTGATAGCTTAATACTTTGCCGGAAGTACATCAAAATTACGAATATTAAATTTGCTAGCCCTTAATTGGAGCCATTTTAGTTCCTTCGTCTATGGAAATCATTCAATCAGTTCACTGCTCTATTAAAGAAGCCACCAGGAACGATATGGTCTCCTGTTTCAATACAGATCCGATCCAAACTTGGCATCTCATTTGAATTGAACATTCAATATGGTAAGACTAAAAATAAATGATTTAGTTGAGGTATTATTTAAGGATTTTTGAAGCAAAAAAATGGTCTATGGAAACAGTGTTAAACAAGTCGAACACATAGGACATAAGGTTTCTGCTGATTCTGTGCGTCGCGTGCAATTCGGTAAATTAACATAAGTAAAACAAGTAAAGTGTTTTTCTATCAAACGTCGCGCAGCAGCTACTGCTGTCGTCAGACGTAAAATATAATATGATTTCGTTGATGAATACTTCTACAAAGAGAAAATTGGCAGCTCTAGGCACTTTCAAATACAAAAGAGCAAAAGCAAAAAACTCTAAAGGCAAATGGAAATATGCCGAGTTCAAAGCCTTAGTGAAGCCCAAATTTTGAAACACCGTGCTCGATCATGGCGTCTATATCTCCCTTTTTACTGTAAAAGATGTAAAAACGTTATAACCACAGATGAGGCTAAGTTTCATATGGTAGGTATTTACGGTCGACGTCGGGCTTGCTAAGTTCAAACTAATGAGACAGACCTGAATAAACTTAGGTTTGTAAAACAAGATGCATTTGCACCTGGGTTAATGGATCGGGGCGGGGTTAGTTACTACGGCATGACACCTCTTATTTTTATCAATAAAGAGTTAAAACTGGTCAATGCAAAATATTACATAGACAAACTCGGTCTAGTAATACCGCTTAAATGACCATGTACTTTCTCAACAAACGCAAATTGCAGAACACCTGCTCAAATAAAGCTTCCATGGACTTTATTATCTGAGTTTCACTGAAATGTAGGCTGTAAAAACGCAACCATGTTCTGTCTTAAAAAGGCTCTCAAAGACGAATGGAGCAAACTTGAGCAGTCATGCATAAACCTGTCTTTAGAAAGCTGGTAAAAATTTGTAGAATATTTACTTTTGCAATGGATCCCAGATTGAGCATCTGTTGCATTGAAACACATGCAAGTAAATAATTAGCCATGTTTTAAAACTGTTTCGTAATGAATTCAACACCTCATGTAGTAATATGTAAAGTTTAACTGATTAGAAAGGGAATTATGTTTATACGGATAGTCAAAAGATCAATTTTTTTTCAAGATGATTATGTATTAAGATTAATACAGCAAATTGAAAAGAAAATACTTAATCATATTATTTTTTAAATTCCAATTAAATAGAAACACAAAGGCATTGCATTTTGTTGAAGCTTAAATTTGTTTTAATGACTTTATCTGTAAATTGTAAGTAACTGCAAGTGCATGAAAGAGATATAAATCGGTGAAATGGAAGCAATAGTTATTCATGGCAACATCATTTTCTTTATTATGATTTACAATGCTAATGTATGGAAATCAATAGGTACTTGTAAAACATTCTTCTATTTAAGGTACATTCTGCTTTCATAAAATTGTAATAAAACATTTATTTAGATACTGTAAAATATCAATACTATTTTAGAAATTTGAGATTTAAACTGTGCTAACATGTAAATTGTATCAACTTTCAAGTGCACTGACGCCAGAGTAATATTTTCACCAGAATCATGTCCAAACAGTACGCAGCAATTAGTTCTTAACTTAATCTACGATACTGCCAAAAATCAGTTATATAAGGAGAGATGAAAGGACAAATATAATCTACATGTATATCTTAATCTAGCTCTAGAAATATCAACACTTTCGTACAGTACCGTTAAACTTTAGTTATACATAGAATTTACGTTTTTTTTTTTTATGCTAAAGTGCAAATTCCAAAATGCAAAGAGGGAAACTTAAATAAGAGTCACATTTCCATAGCTTGCTAGAACTTTGTTCTTCATCTTAGCTAATAAGACGAAAATGTTCATGCTAAGTTACTATAGATTTCGAATAAAAATTACAAGCAACTATCAGGAAAAGGTTTACCATATCACTTTGTTTTAACCATGGATACTTATGTTAAGCAACTGGTCATAACGTAAGTTTAAGCCATTTATATAAGAAGAACTAAGTAAAAATCAAACTGAATGGGAAAAGGCCATCTTATAAATACAGACCTACATACATATAGTCAATCGAACTGTTCAATTATTTGATGTTTAACTTCAGGTTAATAAAGAGTACGTCAAATTATACAAATGCCCTTAAAAATTTAATTATTAGTTTCAAATCAATGCTTTTAGCTGGCGTAGTTATGTAACGGCTGAAAAGCATTACAAATGATCAGATTGATGATATACAAGGCATACCTTTCTGTCTCAGGTAATATCTAAAATGTTTCACCTCAGTCAATATATTTTTCATGTGTCAAACTCTAAATACCTATATTCTATATATAAATATTAATTTCATAGACGATATTCCAGCGGAGATGTTTTATCATTCTAGAGTACATGGTAATGACCCTTACAGAGGTTATTTGCCCATGATTCATTGATATATAGAATATATGTTTGTCTTAGTGTAGATGCTAATAGTATATATATCACACTGAGAAAATGCAATATATTGCAAAATGTGGATATTTTCTTTCTTCACTGTGTAATATATAAAATGTTCACGAAAACATGAACATTTTTCTTTCTATTGTTTTTTTATACGTATGATGATATCAATTTTCGACTGTTGCGATTCTGGCGCAGGAAAAAAGGCACACGTGAAGAAGGTGACGTCAGGTTTACAACTGCTTCGCGAACGCTTCGAAAAGAAACTAAAGTTAGTTGTCACTTTCACCAATATTAGAGAAAAATGACAATTGAATAAGAAATATGCAATTAAGAACAATACGCAACAATTACCTTTGATGTAAATTAATTAATTTGCGGAAAGATAAAACCAAATTGATACGGTAGATCTATATCAGCCGAAATTTGTTGGTGTTATAGGATACACGCATTTTATCACACGGATAAAATCCAGTATCTTACTGGTTAGCATGCAATAAATTTCACAATGGGTCATCTACCTTTACAGTCACCATTTACCCGAAGTATATGTTTTGTTTATATCTGTTGTTTTTAATCTCAAATACCAGCGCAATATTAATATTGTCTATATTATCATAGGATCTTGTGACGATGTGACTAACCGTGCGTTCAATGCTTGCAATACTAGCTTTTGCGATAAGACAATTTCATTCTGCAAGCTTAAGGTATATCCATCCTAATTTATTTACTCCGATTTTAAAAGTATTTAAATAGGATAGAACTACTGTTAGACACATTAAAACTTAGGGTTGGGTATCAACGACCAGAAGGTCGACTTTTTTCTTTACTTTTTTTCTTTTAAGACAATTTATGTATCCTTTATATCCCTTTTGGGAAGAAAAATGTTTAATTTTAATTACCTTATTAATATAGGAATGAGATAACAAATATGGTACCTGATGTTTTCAAAGTTTAATAAAATCAAAACTAGACGGTAAAAGTATTTTATATTTTAAAAAAATAATCAATATAAGGCGCATGATTAATTGCAGAAAAACACCATTCATTGTGAGTACTCAATTAAATGCATGTACATAAAATATTCACATATATCAACTTAATAACTATGGGCTAATTTTGACTTTCTTTGTTTTGTTGCAAATGTATTCATCTCTCTGTATACATACAATGGACTGTACAAGAGTCTGATTGAGAAGAATATCGAGACAAAACAGCAAAGTTGCAAAGTTTTCTGCAATACAGACGTATCTAGACTTTTGTTAGCCACAACAGTTCAAAGTGTCCTATAATAGTGTTTCTTTACTTTTTAAATAAAATAGAAAATAAAACAAAATTAATCGCTTTTTACAATTGTTTAAGAAATCATTTATAATAAAAATAGATATTGGACAAAAATCCCGTGGTCCAATCTTCAACCGTCTGCGCCCAACAACTACCAATTTAAAATCAATCTCATGACATTTTGTCTAGATGGCGACCGAGTGCTAAAGTTTTAGGTTAATATTCATGCTCAAATACAGGGATTATCATTGATGTTGTTCGATTAATAATGTAGTAAGCTATATGCGACGAATTGTTATTAACAAAATGACAACAACAATATTATGTTCATTTGGCCGTTTCTTAATTTGTGTAATAAAGAATGTCTAAGTAATTTAATATCATTATGGATATTGTGCATATTAAACAGAATAAAATGACCCGGAACAAAATGTTCAGCATTTTTTTTAATGGCGATGGAATCATGCATGCCCCCACATACATTCTATAAGTGTCTTTCATTCTATGTGTTCTGTTATCGTTGTACTTACAATATAGTTTTCTACAGATAGCAAACATATAGCTGTGTGTATAATTTAATTGGGGCATTTTTTATTTCTGCTCAAAGCATTATAAGAAAAAAATAAGAGCGTATCAGCAATGTCTTTATACAAATGAAAATCAATGTATCCAAGTTCTGGCATATTTATTGGTAAGCTTTCCTTTCGGCATTGACTTAAGCGTAACCGTCCGGTCAAAGTATAAAACGACAATTACGTAGTACTGACCTTATAGAATTTTCGTGTTGCCACGCTTCCGCTTAAACTTCACTTTTTACAATCAGACAAGACGGACTTTCTCAAGGTTTTTAGCGCACATATGTGATGCTAAGTCATTTAATCATTGCGTAAAGCTCGCTTTTGATTATTATACTATTCGTTGTACAATGTACTCTTTGCCATCAGCTACTTTTATACTAAAGTTTAGCACTAGAGAACTTATTATCATCTCATTAAAATA